GCCCAACCCAGCCTCGCGCGCGGTCTCCTTACAGGAAGCGGCTGGTGTGGCGCGTGTAGGACAGCGGGATGGGTGTCCTGAGGATGCGCTCGCAGCTGCCCAGGGCGTCGTGGAAGAACGTGAGGTTCTCGTCCATCCTGATGCGGTACAGCTCGTGGGGCTTGGCGGCGCGGATGGTCTCGGAGATGACCTGTGAGTGGCCCGGGACAGGGTTACGGAGGGATAAGGGGCGGGGTGAAGAGAGCAGGGCGCAGGTCGGGGTTCAGGGACATGATGGGGGCTGGTGAAGGTGGTTTCAAAACCGCTGGATTATAAGGTGCAGCGGTTATCCACTACTGGCTAGCAGTGATAGAAAATCTCCGTGCTGCAAGAGCAAGGGTCGCCAACCATGAGACCCCCTTTTCGCACTTGCAGGATGAAGTTGGGGCGGTGTGCCGAGGAGCACAGCAGCTCGAGTTCCAGGGGGCTCAGCAGGTGCTGCGGAGGGTTGGCACGGCCGTGGGGGGAACGACGGGACAAGGCCAGGTTGAGATGCGCGGCAGCACTGTGACGGCAGCCTGTCTTGCAACGAGGGGCCGGCCAGGGCAGGCGCCGGCGCCTGGCTGCGCGCGAGGGCCTCTCATGCAACGCGGCCGGCCCGCCCGCACTGGCGGCCGCACGTGCAAAGCGTGCACCTTTGGAAGGAGGTGTAATTGACACAGCAAACCCGTGATCAGTCACTGCAATGACACACACACACACACACACACACACACACACACACACACACACACACACACACACACTATCACAGCAACCACTACCCACCCCAACCTCCTTCTTGACGTCCATGCTGTCCCTGAGGTGGCACATCAGGACCTGCGGACACATGCCGGCGGTGTCGGCATTATTAGACACCAATGATCAAGCGCGCGTCCGCCTGCTCAACATCGCCCCCCACCTTTCCCTGGACCTTGACCCTGCAATTATGAAAGCATGGCGCATAACAGCCGGGAGCGCAGCGACTGCGCGCACGCGTCTGCTGGGCGGCTCTGAATCGTGCATGCACCTTGGGGAAGGCCATAGCCCAGCATGCCAGGGTCTCCTTCAGGTGGGTGTCCTCGTCAGCAAAGAACACCAGCCCCTGACAGTTGCGGCAGCGTGGCGGGCGGTTCAGTGGGTCGCAGTGCGGGAGCAGTGTGGATCAACCTGGAACCCGTTGATGCCACACCTGCTTGCACATCACACTTGAGTGGGTCAGAGAAACAGCCCCAGCTTTGAGTAGACAGGTGTATCGACGGCTGCTTACAACGACATCAACGCATGCTTGCCCAGAAGCACTACATAATTTGCTTTGCCCGGCAAGGCCGCACCTGCCGCACCACGTCACGCGAGCGGTTGACGACTCCGCCCCAAATCTTCCGAGCCTCCCACCAGCGGTCTGCGGCGTTGTGGCGGCAGCTGCCTCATGCACGCTCCAGGCGGACACACCGCTTCCGCCGTTGCAGCCATCGCGATGCAACAGAAGCGGCCGCACCGCCTCTAACACCCCCGGCACACATACCCCTCCACGCCTGCACTTGCCCAACTGAAGCGGCGCCCCCAATGCCGGCCCACATCATCAGAGTGCCGCGGCCCAGCCGTGCCCACCGTAGGAGCTGTTTGTGCGGAACACCAGCAGCAGGGACAGCGCAAACGCCGTCAGCTGGAATCCCTCGTCCAGCGCGGAGTGGGCCAAGTGGGGGAAACCCGGCAGGTACCCCGTCTGCAAGCCGCCGCGCGTCAGTCGAGGGTGTCAGGGTTCAATTTGGCAGCCCAATGTTTCGCGATGCATGCTGCAGGCAGGGCGCGCCGGCCAGGCCATTTGGCGGTGTGCTGCCGACGCGGCGAGGCGGCCAGCTGCGGCTCGAGTCCCCCAACTCCAGCAGGTGTTGCCTGGCTCCCGGCCCGCCACTGACAGGCAGCTGCCCGAGCGCTGCCGCGAGCGGGGCACGAGCGACGCGGGCCCGGCGGCGCGGCTCACCGTCCTCAGCGTCTCGTACGTCCCCACGAGCACCGCCATCGCCATCACCACCACCACCGGGCCCCGCAGGTTGCGGAAGATGCGGGAGGTGAACACGTGCGTCAGGTGCTTGACGTAGCGCAGGCTGTTGCGGTGCTTGTTCCAGCGGTCAAAGGTGAACACCAGGTCTGCAGGCTGTGGGTGTGTATGGGGTACGGGTGGGGCCTGAGTGTTGGGGTGTTGCGATGACGCAGCCAAGACTGATTCAAATACATGCATGCCTCGTACAAACTATGCAGAGGAGCGGCCTGCATGCTTGGGGGTGATATCTTGGCGCCCTCTGTACTAGGCACGCTCAAATGCTTCCTCCGCCTGATGGATGTATGCTTCACACACCGCCAGCACGCCACTGCCGGCAGCGCTGAAGAATTTGCTCGTCTGCTTGCCCCGCATCCCTGCTTCGCGCCGCCTCACGTTGTGCCAAAAACGCCGCCGCGTGATGTCTGTCTCGTGGCGGTCGTGGCCATCCTTGTCCAACACATACTTTACGAACTCAGGCGCCCCCAGATTTAGGATCTTCGAGCGGGACAGCCGCCCGAGCGCGCTGCGCGGCCGCGCCGTGCCGCCGACGCTCTGCTCCCTGCCGCCCTTTGTGGTGTTGGCGGCGGCCGCGCCGCCGTGGGAAATGGGCGCGCCGCCAAAGGAGGCGGCGGCGGCCGCAGTGTCGTTTGGCGCAATGCCGGGGGCAGAGGCTGGGGCGCAACGGAGCTCCATCGGGGTTGCGAGCGGCCCTGCCTGCCAAGGGCGTCGGGGTGTGTTGCGGCGGATGCACCTATTAATAGCTTCTCAAGGTTGACTTCTGAGCTGATACATCCCAAACACCTGCAAAACCACCCGCAACGGATGAGCTGGCAGCATGACAGCCGCACGAGCAGCTGCTCAGCTGCAGCAGCTTGCGGCGCTGTAGGCGCATCGACTGAAGAGCGCCAGCGCGATGCACTGGTACGCAAGGTCTAAAAACGCAAGGTCGATCTATTGCCGCGCAGCTCCAGTCCACCGCAAAACAGCACCCACCAACGTGGATTTGTGCACCGGTGTCCAGACCCGCCCGAGGCAACTCTGGTCCGGTCTCCACCGTCTTCTAACACCGTACCTTATACTGAAGCAATGATATTGAACCTAAACCCAGTCCAGAAGCATACACATCTATTGGCGTGATCGACTTGCACAGGCAACGCGCTGAACAGCGTGTCCAGACATTTTATACCCGCTAGCCCTTCAAATGGAAGTGTTCTGAGCTATGTTCAATCTAGAGGATGGAATCCTCGCCAAGGCAGGCGCGGTGATGCCGTCGCAGCTCAGCCCTTGTAGGGTAGGGAAGCTATCCAAGCTGTTACATCGGCAGCTGCCATGCACCCGGGCCAGGCCGCGATACACGACACAGTTTCATGGGCCTGCAGGAGATTAGGCAGGTCTTCTGCAGCAAGCCGTGATGTTTCTATGAGACAGCTTGCCTGGCATTGACAAGTGCGGGCTGTCCCATCGCATTTGCTGCACATCCATGGTTGCGTGGCGCTGAACATGAGACACCGCCCACGGCATTGTCATAGCTGCAGCAGTCTCATCCCCGCAGGTGCCATGTAAACGGCACAGTGCACGTGTGGCTTTGTGGCTTATAACCCTTTGCAAACACTTTCTGCAAGCTTTTGGGCTAGCCGTGACATGTGGAATTGGAGAGCCACATACTTGGCAGTTGGACAGCCAAACAATTGACTAATGGGAATTCACCGCGCACGGGTGGATGCTAACCGTACCTTTACAAGCTGCAAGAAATTGATTACGGTAGGGTGTGGGATGCGGGTTACCGTAGCTGCTGATTTGATGAACAGGGTTCAGGAGCAGTGAAGAGCATCAAGTTCAGGACAGTGCCAGAACAGCCAGGAGTGACACCTATCCCTCATGTATGCACCTTGCATGTTTCAGCGTCAACGGCGCACGAATAACCGGGCCTGCCCGCATGTGGAGGGATCATAGCTGAAGGTGGGCGTATGCAGGGTACGAGCTCGGATTCAGCACAAAATATCATTATATTATAATTACCAGGTAGTAACGGGGGTGATTCGCCCGCGTAGGCCTTCGTTCTTGCCGCGTCTGACGGATTCGTTCAGCCGTGCCGGACCTCAGGACCGGGACAAATGCGCAAGCCGCGCGATGAAGGTATCGTTGTTTGGCTGGGGGTCGCACTAGAATGCACGTGATAATCGTCACATCTATACACAGGGCAAAATCATTTGGCAAACAGCCCATTGACTGCATCGCTGCATCTTGATGCTCAGCGGCTGAGGGGCTGCTTCCACACTGCCTGCTGCCCGCCGCCTCAGCTAGCCTAGCACCAGCTGGTGGACGCTAGAGCATATTTATCGTGCGTCTCATGAGCTCGCTTCGTGTCATCGGCGCCGGCCTGCCGCGAAGCGGCACTAAGTCATGCAAGGCCGCGCTGGCGCAGCTGCTTGGAGAGCCTTGCTGCCACTTTGAAGATGGTGAGTTGCCAGGTCGCGGAGCGCTCCAGCACCAAATAAGCCTCGACTATCATTTCCACCTAAGCTACGTAATATCCAGTGCGCGTGCTGTCCAAAGCTACTGCCAGCCGCCGGAGCACCAACAGCTGGCGCAGCACCAGCAACTGCCTGCACCAGCAGCGAGCGGCAGCAGCACGCGCGGCAGTATTTCGCTCACGCAGTCCACGATTCGAGTTGCCGCAAATCGGTGCCCGGTCCTGCGTGCGTTCTTTGACGCGATGCAGTCATCCAAGACCAGAGGTTGCTGGACAGCTGGCACGGCGTCGTGGTCCGTGGAAAGCCTGCAAACTTTGACAAGCTGTTTGCGGGCTACAGCGCGTGCACGATGGTGAGACGAAGGGATTAAAGTACAGTGATTTGGGTAGGATTTGTGTGGGATGTGTGTGTTATGCAAATGCATACTGCGTTCAGCAATATCACACGGGCCACGACAGGTGACAGCAGGCCGTGTCACGTGGGTGCCAGCCCAACGTAGTGGTGGCAGCAGCAGCAGCAGCAGCAGCAGCAGCAGCAGCAGCAGCAGCAGCAGCAGCAGCAGCAGCAGCAGCAGCAGCAGCAGCAGCAGCAGCAGCAGCAGCAGCAGCAGCAGCACTACCACCACCTCCGCAATCAACAACCACGCCTCACAGGCCAGCACGATTGCAGTCCCAGAGCACCCCCCCGCAGACACTCCCGACCCCGCTCACACAAAGCACCCATGCACGTTGCAGTCGTTCCAGTGCCGGGTGCGTGCTGAATTGAATGCGCTCACTCCATTGTATAATAGACTCAACGCTCCTGACACTTTTTGCAGGACCTGCTGGGTGCCCTGTATTATCAAGAGATTCTCAAAGCCGCCGCCCCCGGCGCCGTCGTCCTGCTGACCGTCCGCGACCAGCGCGCGTGGTGGCGCTCCTACAACACGCTCAACGCCGCGGTGCGCGTGCACGGCATCCTCTGCTGCTGCTCCCGCATGCCCGCGGTGGCGAAGCTGTACCCGCTGTGGGTCGCGGCGATGGTCGCGTTCTTCGGGGCGAGGTGCAGCGGGTTCGGGCGCGACATGGAGGCACACCTGGAGCTGGTCTCGCGCCACGAGGAGCGCGTCAGGGCGGCGGTGCCGGCGGGGCGGCTGCTGGTGTTTGACGTAAAGCAGGGGTGGGAGCCGCTGGTATCGTTCCTCGATGCCAACGGCGTGCGGCACGCATCGGGCGCGCGGCTGACGGTGCCGATGCAGCCGTTCCCACACCTGAACGAGGGTTCCGGCGTGTTCCTGTGGCTTTGGAACCTGGTCTGGCACCGCCACAGGGCGGACATCGCCCTGCGGGTCGCGTCGGCGCTCGGGTGGCTCTATTTCTTCCCGGGCCCCACCTCGGTGGTGATACTGCTGGTGCTGCTGCGGATTCTCATCCGCTGACCTGCGGCTGCCGTTTGCGCCGTGTTCATCCTACCTCCACAAATTTCTTCTTATTGATTACGCGCTCAGTGGTTCTTGGGTGTGTTTTGAACATGGGGGCTGACAAGAATGACTGGGCTGCCTAATGACTGTATAGCGGTTTCTGCAACCCTGGTCTGGCCGAGCTTGCCCTCTAGCTTGCTCAGTTTGAACAACCTTTGCGGCAATCATGACTGGCTAAAGGCCAAGCATCTCATTAATTTGGTTGGTGCCGTTTGATTCACAACGCGATCAGCTGGGCTGAGATGGCCACAGAGCACCTGCTTGCAGGTGCCCTGCTTGGCACCTGGCGCGACCTGTCCTTTGACTATGCCTCCTGCTGCAGCAGCAGTACACTGTGACTTGCACGCTTCCGAAGTGACAGATTTAACTTTATTGGTTGCGCCACGCGCATGGCATGATTCATGCGCCATCGACAACTCAGTGCTGAACGTGGGAGGCACATGTGATGTGCACGCGATCCAACGATAGGCGCAAACTGCCATCCACAACAAATTCGCTTCCTTCTGCGTACATAGATTCTATTCTCTGATATCTTAATCCAGGACATTCAACAAACATTTCTTGTCATCCCGAGTTTCTTTGTCACACAATTCATTCTTCAATTTTCCAGGCCTTTGCGAATGCAGGTTGCTGCACAGACCGTGTTACATACGCTTGTATGCCTATCACCAGCATCCCTGCACAACCCCCTTGCATAATTTACAATGGTATTCACACACCAGCTCAACCAGGGGCCAGCTGCAAATGGGCGTCACGCAGCATTCATGCGCGGCAGCAAAGGGACATCAGCCGGCCGAGGGCTGGTGCTGCTGGCTACTAGCCAGCCCCCCGTAGTACGGGGGATTCAGCCCCTGATCCCGCGGCTTGTGCCGCTTTGATTTAGAAGGGGCCGTGTTTATTCAACAGCTGCTCTGAAGCCTGGGCACTTAGAGGCTCTGCCAACGGCCTTGCAAGCGCCTCCCAACATAATTCCTCATGCCCCACTTCCCCCAAGGGCAGCTGCTGTTGTTGGGGCCGTCGGTCGGCGCACCCCGATGCATACAAGCTTTTTGAGCACTCTGCTTGGCGGATACCCATGCGCTGCACTATGCCGTGATGTGTAGCAGACTGCATCATGCCGCATGGGCACAGTCCTGTCGACCCTGGCGACAGGCAGCGCCAGCGCTCACCGCTGATGCTCAGCTGCATGCTGTGAACGGCGGCTTGGTGGCGTCAACCGCGCCACTGCATTTTATTGCAACGATTCTACGGCCATATTATAGTCAAAAACATATATCACATTCTAGTTATTGTTGTCGCTTTGTCGCACATACCGCGGCAAAATATAACCGCCCACGCGCCCAGGATGCATGTGCTCGTGACAGGAGGCCTGGGCTTCATCGGTGTGCAAGCTAACGCATGAATCAATTGCATTTGACACGTGGAACCTGGGTTCCCGACTTGATTGTTCTTCAATCATTCTCGGCGCTCGCGCTGCTCGCGCCGCTTCACTCTCGATGCTGCCTCCACACCCTGGCAGGCAGCCACACGGTGCTGGCGTTGCTGGAGCATGGGCACACGGCTGTATTAGTAGACAACCTCAGCAACTCCTTTGTGCGGGCACTCGACCATGTGCGACGGTTGGCAGGCCACAGAGCGGGAGGCGTGAAGTTTGTCGAGGTGCGCCGCGAGCGCCGGGAAGGGCGTGCCACGCCACTGGCGACGAGCGCGTTTCATTAGGAGGGGCTCGTAAATTCAGCGTGGCGGTTGCTCGGCATCCATGCGCGGCAGCGCAGCCGGCCCGCTC